GTAGCACTTTTAGTTTTCTTCCAGAATTTTTCCTTTACGACTTGGCTGTTTGGTGCCAGAGGCCTACCTTTCAGCCTGTCTCAGTTTTTGATGTGCCTTTCTTACTAAGCTTAATCATTTCTAGCTTTTGATCAAAAGTCAGTGATGTATGACTCTTCCTTTCACTTGAATGATTGGAGGCCAATGTAGGGTTATTCGCTGGCCTAATTTCAACATTGCTTTGTCTAGGGGAATAAGGAGGCTCATAGAGAGTGAGAGTTGCGGGAGCAGCCAGTCAATGGAGCATTCGGAACACACGCAACATTTAGCAATTAAGGTTGCCATATTAAGTGAGCATGGTTTGTGGTGTCCCAAAACAGTGACAATAGTAACATCAAAGATCACTCATCACAGATCACCATACAGATATAATAATAATAAAGTTTGAAATCTTGTGAGAATCACCAAAATGTGTCAGAGATATAAAGTGAGCAGATGCTGTTGAAAAATGGCGCTGATAGGTTGCTGGGTACAGGGTTTGCCACCTATCAAACCAGACTTTGACAGAAGATCAAACCAGCATATTCCCTTCAATTTGTAAAAAAGAATGCAATATTTGCAAAGTGCAATAAAGTGAAGCACAATAAAACGAGGTGTCACTATATAAGAATGAGCTACTACCTCTGGGGCTGAGGCAAGCTATTCAAAGAAAAAACAAATTTTAGGAAAGTCCCTCTCCTCAAGGGCTGAGATTCAGACTTTGTTGGAGAGCGTATGACTTTAGCCCACCGATGGCAGAAATTGCACTGAAATGATGCAGGATAAAGCCATCAAACAGAAAATTGTCCCTGGAATGATGAGCATCCTTTTCAGGAAGGCATTTTCTGGCGTACTAGTAGAACTCAGTGGGAATCTCTTGGCTCGGGTGCTCGTGAGACTAGCTAGACTGAGCCTGGCCAGAATGCTGGTAGAACTCACTGGGAATCTACCTGTGGAGGTGTTGTGGAAACAGCTGAGATGCCAGCAGAATTTCCTGGTATGTCTGCTCGGGTGCTTGCAAAATTTGCAAGGAAGCTGGATATAGTGCCAGTGGAACTGTGTAGGAAGCTGCCTGCAGGGAAGTGAGCACCACTAACCATCCTGCACACTGCGCAAGTGCTACAGGAGCAAGGAAAGAGAGGAAGCATGTCAGAACCAGGAAAAGAAGAGAAGCCTCTCCCGCAGTTTCCCTCCAGCACCCTCTACTGGCAAAGCTTTCCATCAAGCCAGCTAGCGAAGGAGAGATATTATCAAGGTCCAGCTCTATTAACAAAGCAGGGCCATAATGAAGGGTGGATTTGATGCTGAAAGGGAATGAGTTGACAGCTAGCAGAAGAACTAAGGAAAGTACCCAGGTCAATGTTGGTGCCACTTATTGAGGTGGGGAACTAGGAGGAGTCGTTTGTGTTAAGACTGAGAATTCTCTTTGGGTGCATTAATTTTGAGATGCCTAGGAGACACTTAAGTGAAAGTTTTGATTATTCAGATGAATATGTAAATTTGGTGCTCAGAGGGAGCAAGGGGCTATTTCCAACAAATGGCATGGTAACAATTGAAAATCCACATAAAAAAATCAGAACCTCAACCCATATAGTATACCTTATATAAAACTTAGCTCGTTTTGGATCATAGAACTACATGAAACTTAAATTCTGAAAATTCTGGAAGAAAAAAATGGATATAGTCTTTGCAGTCTTGGGCTAGGCAAATATTTCTTAGACATAACATCAAAACCATAACATGTCACATAAACTAATAAATATGACTTAATCAAAGTTTAGAACTTCTGTTCTTTGAAAAACATTATTAAGAAAATGAAAAGATATGCTGCAGACTAGTAGAAAATATTTGCAAATTGTATATCTGACAAATAATTCGTACCCAAAACTCAAAAATAAAAAAATAAATAACCTAATGTAAAAAATGTGTAAAAATTTGAGCAGGCACTTCACTAAGGAAGATACCCAGGTGCTCACTGTGGCAGCACATATATGAAAATTGGAACGCTACAGAGATTAGTATGGCCCCTGCGCAAGGATCACGTGCAAATGCATGAAGTGTACTTTTTCTTTTTAGAAATGAAGATGTCCAGATTGCAAATAAGTACTTTGAAAGTGTTCAACACCAGTAATCTCTAGGGACATACAAATGAAAACTATACTGAGATATCACTACTTACCTATTCGAATAGCTAATTAAATAAAAACTGACGACATTAAATGCTGGTGGGATGCAGAAGCAACCGGAACACTCCTATTTCTGGTGAGAGAAAAAAATTGGAAAACATTTTGACTTGGCAGGTTTTATAAAATCAAATTAAACACATCCTTATAATATGATCCAATATTCCCACTCCAAGGCATTTATCAAAGGGATATTTAAAATTATGTTCCCACAAAAATTTGTATGCACATACTGTACTTAATCTGAATCTTCAGTAGGATGTTGACTAGGAACACTGAAAATGGTGGAAATGCTTTGTTTTTAAACCTAAAAGGGAAACACTCAGTTTTTCAGCATTAAGTAGAATATTAGCTATGACTTTTTTTTGGTAGATGCCCTTTATCAGGTAAGGAAGTACCCATCTATTCTTATTTTGCCGAAAGGAATAGATGTTGAATTTTGCTGATGCTTTTTACATACCAGTTGAGATGGTCATATGGTTTTCCTTCTTTAATGTATTGATTCGGTAAATTACACTGATGAATTTTTATTTTTAAAATTAATTTTATTTATTTATTTATTTTTGAGATGGAGTTTTGCTCTTGTTGCCCAGGCTGGAGTGCAATGGCATGATCTTGGCTCACTGCAATCTCTGCCTCCGGGATTCAAGCAGTTCTCCTGCCTCAGCCTCCTGAGTAACTGGGATTATAGGCACCTGCCACCATGCCCAGCTAATTTTTTGTATTTTTAGTAGAGAAGGGGTTTCACCATGTTGGTCAGGCTGATCTTGAACTCTTGACCTCAGTTGATCCACCTGCCTCGGCCTCCCAAAGTGCTGGGGTTACAGGCAGGCATGAGCCACCACACTCGGCTGATAAATTTTTATTTTAAAAATTATTTTAGATTCAGGGGCCACATGCGCATGTTTGTTACATGGATATACTACACACTGCTAGTGTTCAGTCTTCTATTGAACTCATGTTGATGGATTTTTAATTGTCAAATTAGCCTTGTATTTCTGGCATAAACCCCACTTGGTCGTTATGTTAATACCTATGTATTTTATATGTCCTTTTTATATGTCACTGGATTTGATTTACTTATATTTTGTTGATGGTTTTTGTATCTGTGTTCAAGTGGCTGTTGTTCTGTAGTTTTCTTTTTTGTCATGTCTTTTTTCTGGATTTGGAATGGTATGATGTTGGCTTTATGAAGTGATTTGGGAAGTATTCCCTCCTCTTCCATTTTCTGGAAGAGTCTGTGTAGAATTGGTATATATTTCTTAAATGTTTGGTTGAGTTTATTATTGAATTGATCTGGTCCTTATTTTTCTATATTGGCAATATTGTGTCTTGGTGAGATTTGGGGCTTTAGAATCCAGCAATCCCAGATTAATATCTGACTGTTAATTTCTCCCTGTGAGACATTGGGCAAGTCACACCTTCTCTCTGAGCCTGTTTCCTCATATATAAAATGTATAATTGTGACAATTAAATCATAACATACATCAGTTATTCAATACTCTACTACATGTATTTATATATAATACATACATATTTGTATATATTAAATTGAAGTTTTACTATCATACTGTACGATTTACAGTACATATCAGTGCTATATTAGTATCCTTATTTTACAGATAAGAAAGCTATTGGAAAGCAAGATTAAATAACTTGCCCGGGATTACTCAGGTTGCATATAATAGAGTCAGTATTCAGATTGACGCTGTCCAGTTCCAGAGTCCTGGCTTTTAAACACTAAGCTTTGCTAATGATAATGCCTATCTTTAGAGTGCTATGCGTATTAAGTGAGGCAATTCCTGTAAGTGGCTGAATTTGTGCTAGTAGAAGCTTGTTATTCAGTAAATTTGTGTTATAATTAATCATATGAATTTTTATTATTTTGAAATGAAACTACTTTGGAACAGTTTCAATCCGAAAGGCATTTTAGATACATATAAATAATCAAATGCTGCCTTAAAGTTTGTTGCTGTGAAATTCCATAAGCATTTGCTACACTTTACAACATGATATTGAGAATATCTAAGCTTCTTAGGAAAAGCAACTTGAATTCTTGCCCTGGTTCCACATTGTCTTTTCATGCAATCCTGGTAATTCAATCTCGTGAAATACTGGTGAATCTGTAGCAAACGGATAGGAAAAATATCTGTTTTTATCATTTTAACCTAAGTTGTTGAATAGTTTAAAAAAGACAAGTACCTGAAGACATTTTGAAAAGTATAAGATTGTGCTAAAATGAAATATAAATATTTGATGTTCTGTGATAAAAATCAGAATCTTCTGTTTATGTATAAATATTTGGAGATTATTTTGAACATACTTGTACTGTGACTAGTACCCATTGATACCAGTTAATTTTAGGTTTTCAGGCCTTCATGGTAGTTATTATTCGGGCAATTCTTACTTTTCTTTTGGCCCAACGAGGTCATGACTGCCATATGCCAAATGTTAGATTCATTTTATTTATTTTAAAATTATAAATGATAACCTAAAAAGTGGAATCACAGATTCAATAAGTACTTTGTCCTATGTTTCAGTCAACAAGACTTAATTTAAGCTTTTTTTGAAGTGATAAACCTCATTATATCAAAATATATAGCAAAATGACATAGTATATATGCCATTAATTAAGACTGGGAATGATGTGGAAGATGGCACATTGGGCATTCTGACAGAGAGTAAGAAAAGACTCTGGTTATGAAGTGTAATGGTTATTGTGTAGATTGTCAAATGCTAAGGAACAATGCTAACTCTGGGAAAATATAATAACATATTGCATTGTTTTGTGAATTGTAGCTGACTTTGGCCTGGCAAAGCAAAAACAAGAAAACAGTAAACTCACGTCTGTTGTTGGAACAATCCTGTATTCTTGGTAAGGACAATTATTTTATGGCTCTCAAACAACATACTTAACTGGTTTGGAGTTTCATTTCTATTACTGACTTGCAAAGGCAAGAGGATTTCAGGAAAGAAAGCTTATAGGTTTTTTTTTTTTTCAATTATCTCGGTAATACGCATGACTAGAATTGTGGATCACTATGTATGCTTAAAATAACCACCACAAAAATCATCTTTCTTCTAAGGTATCACTGCCTCTCATGGGGATTACTTTTATGAATTGTAAGTTGAAATGATCCTTGGCATACAGTAGGTGTGCAATAGTTGTTGAATGAATCTGAGAATGAAGTAACAGATGTGCTACCCAACATGACACTTGAAACATTTTCTTGTAGCTACCTGTATGTATGACTCTTTTTCTTTTTTCTACCTATAAACATTCAAGTGCAGGGGCAAGGATTTTTTGTACCCTAGTATCTATCTTAGCATCTGGCAAATAATAGGCATTGAATAAACTTTATTGCATGAATGGATAAATAATGACATGTATACTTACACATATGTTTGCAAAGTAAGTTGCTTCTTGGATAAATGAGTGTTTATATTTTGATGAATCGAGACACTTTTAAATTTTTTGGCATACTTTGGGGATTTCTTTGCAAGCCATTAATTATTATGAAGTAAGAATCTTCTTTTGCTGATCACATATCATTTGTCTGAATCTATTGAAATTAGAAATAGTCCTGGTAGTGAGTAGAAAAGCAGATTTCGGGGAAATATTCTGAAATCCGATTCAATAGGTCAAGCAATCAAGGCACTTTCATTTTTAAAAAATGTAACCTATAGTTATACAACTGAGTCTTGGGAATAGAATTAAACACGACTCTTCTTGAGGAAGGGTAGAAATTGTCTAAAAATAACAGCCTAATTTTACAAAGCTCTTTCATGCAGAAGTGTTCAGAATAATGTTGTAAGAGGGCGACTTTTCATTTATCTTACTGGAAATTCCTGATATCTCTATTCTTAAAACTAGTTTCATGAGAAGATGCGAAGAAACTGTGGCAGGCTAATATGTAGCTTGTAAGGTACAAGATAATCTTTCTCACCTCTTAACAATAAGGCTGACCTACTCATTACTTGCTGACAGAAGAGTAATTTTCTTTTGTTTCATTTCATACTGCCTTTATGCAATAAACAATGCAGATTTGATTATAAAAGTGTCAAGTAATCATATATTCTGAACAAATTTGATTGTCAATCAAATTGCAGAATAAAACACAAACTTAAATTTTTGCTGATCATACTTATTAAAAGCATATTTTTATGCCTGAGACTGTAAATTAAGTTTAGAGTTGCTCATATGATAGTGTCAATGGTGTGTGTGTCTGTGTGTGTGTGTGTGTGTGTGTGAAAGAGAGAGAATCTATAGAATATGTAGAAAAAAATCTAAAACATGACAACTTTTTTGCTATATTAGCTGAAACATGGATTCACATTTTCATTTAATTGTTAAATTAACTGAAGAGTTTGTAAAGCTGAACCTACTCATATAGATAAGCTATTATTTCATGTAGGTGTGCTATGATTGTTTTAATAACATGGAAAGTATATCTTTCTACCATTTTTCTTTTTGTCAACCCCTTGTTCTTTTAAATTGCTTTAATAATTTCTTTCTACTCCCTTTTCTCATCTCCCCGAGTTATTAGAAATGCCCCGTCTGATGGGTTTTACTATGAAGTGGGGCTCACTAACTATCTTTCTTGCTAGTTTTTGATGTCTTTGAGGATGGAGTTAAAAGAACTCAGTCCTACATCATTTGTGTTGCTTTCTTAACTATTTCACTCAAATTCTTGTCTCAGATTCCAAAAGCAGAATCTGAGACAAGAATTTGAGTGAAATACTTTATCTGGGCCAAGGTCCCAGGAAACACCAGTAGGAGAGTGGTAAAGTGAGACTGGGAGGGAAGGCAGCAAGCAACAGAGGACCTTAATAGTTAGGGTCATGGAGTATTATCTGGGATATAGTGTAGAGCAGGGGTGTCCAATCTTTTGGCTTCTCTGGGCCACACTGGAAGAGGAAGAATTGTCTTGGACCACACATAAAATAAATGAACACTAATGATAGCTGATGAGCTTTAAAAAATTTCAAAAAGGCCTGGTGGTGCAGTGGCTCACACCTTTAATCCCAGCACTTTAGGAGGCAGGTGGATCACAAGGTCAGGAGTTTGAAACTAGCTTGGCCAATATGGTGAAACGCCTGTCTCTCCTAAAAATGCAGAAATTAGTCGGGCGTGGTCGTGGGCACCTGTCGTCCCCACCACTCAGGGAGGCTGAGGCAAGAGAACTGCTTGAACCCAGGAGGCGGAGGTTGCAGTGAGCTGAGATCATGCCACGGCACTCCAGCCTGGGTGACAGAGCAAGACTCTGTCTCAACAAAAAATGCAAAAAGAAATTTCATACTGTTTTAAGAAAGATTTACGAGTTTGTGTTGGGCCACATGTGGTCCATGGGCTGGGTCTAGACTAGCTTGGTATATGGGATGTTTTAGAGTTGCCCTGTATGCCGGATGAGAAGTTGGGGTATTTTTTTTCCAATCACAAGGGGGAGCCCTCAGCATCTGACTGAGGGCTGCTCTGGTGTGCTTATACCCAAGTGCTTATGGCACACCTGGTAGTGAGCTAGGGGCACCCCAGGCAGAGAGCTGGAGGGGCATTGCTTGAGGTATGATGCCATAAACTTGTACTGGAGATGTGAATGGGAGTCTGGATAGGGTCCCAACATTCTAGAATTTTCTGTAATTCAGATTTTCATGTGATTTGTCTCTGAGCCTGTAAATGTGGACCTGGGATGCCTAGGTACCTTTTTCCCTTCCCTGCAGGGTCCCCAGAGTTTGATGTCCCATGTCATTTTGCCCTTTCCATTTGCTTTTACTTCCTCAGATATTAGCTTACTGAATGGAAGAAAGGTCTCTTTGTCACCTCTTGTAGGAAGTGCCTCAGAGCGTTCTTTATTCTGTATTCAGCTGCTAGATATAGGGTTTCAGGGCACATCGCTGGACCAATTGTACTAGAGCAGAAGGTCAGGAAAGGTTCTTTTCATTCATCTGATGTGATTCATTATCAGGCAGGTCTTTGTTATCCTTCTCAAGAAAAAAAAACCTCCAAATATGGTACTTGTTTCCATTTTTTATCTCTAGGTCTTCCTCCGATGCCAAAGAACAAAATTACACACCATCTTCAACTGCATTTTCAGAGAAGATTTTAGAGCTTGAGGCTCTGGGAAACATTTTCAGCTACTTCACAGAACGTATATGGGATTTATGAAGCTAGCATGATATAGAAAATATATACAATAAAAGTTTTCCAATAAAAATGGAAAACTTCAACTATTCCTGGAATGGGAATTATTACTCCGTTGCTTGGTAAATCCCATTCATATTATGACAGTAGATAATTAGAAGAGAAGCTCATGATGTTTAAATTGGTTGGATCAAAATAAACCTATAGGTAAACCTGGATAAGTAGAGACAAAGTGAAGCATGCCTATTAACAGGACTTCTTAAATTCTTTTAAAAATTATTTTTTTTTTTGTATAAAGTTGATAAAATTCTTAAGAAAGCTATAACACATCCAAAATTTTGAGAATTTTAGGTTGCTTAAAACACTAAGACCAAGCCCTCAGTATGGCCACAAGCAGACAACCTTGCATGCTCTGGCCTCTGCCAAGTACTTCAGGTTTACCACAACAAAACTCTAACAATTCCTAGTTCCATCTGGGCTCCCTTTGACCACAGGGCCTTTGCACATGCATCTCCCTTTACCTGGAATGCTCTTTTCCTCTTGTCATCTGGTTAATTGTTACCTTCCTTCAGGTGAACCCCTTTAGACAAGGTGTATTTCCTCTGATCTACGTACTCCATGTACTTCTCCTTCACACAGCTGAACTGTTTGTTGATTTTTCCATAAGCAGTGATGATTGTGTTCATTGCAATCCCCAGCAGTCCTGAGTCTGGCACTTTAAAACTCACTAGTAATTTTTGCTACATGAATGGTCCAGTATTTGCATGATTATAAACATTCCTGGAAAGAACATATTACTAAGAAAATTGTTTCTTTTTGTTGTAACAAATTTTTAATTCCCTATCCTACCCGCTTTTGCTGTTCCTTCAGATCTCCAAAATGCTCCTCCTTGGAATGCTCTTCCTTCACACAACTGCAGAGTTTACTTCTTTACTTCGTTCTGCTCTTTGTTTAAATGCCACGTATGTAGAGAGGATTTCCCTGATCACCTGCCCAAATAGCAACCTCCTTTCAGACCCTGTCCCTGTATCCTGCTTTATTTTTTCGTAGCCCTTGCTCCTACCTGACCGTATATTGTACTTGAGTTGGCTGACAGTGCGTCTACTACAGCACAAGCTCCATGAGCACTGGACTTGCATCTCCTTTGTTCACTGCTCCTAGGTTCCCCAGGACCTACAGGAGTTGACTGGCAGAATCCTAAGAAATACTTTGAATAATTGAAGTGAAAACAAGTCTTTTTTTTCCATATGAATATGATAAAAATCAGTGTGTATTCTTATTGGGTTCTAATATATCTTTGAACTTCTCTGATTTTTACCCTAAGAAAGCCTGAAGAAAATGCTTTTCATTTGAGATAGTAAGTACTGTGAAGACAGGGTCTATTTTATTTTTCTTCTGTTTGCTTGTTTTATCTTTATATGTTATGTAATTACTAGAACAGGGAGTAAATGCGATCAAGTAGGATGTTATCATTTTAACAAAATAAAATGCGGAAGGATTATAAATTATAGAAATATATATTCTTCCGTGACCAGTAAATTGGCCCTGAGGGAAATTAAAAAAAAGGGGTATATATTAGGTCATTCTTAGCTTGCTATAAAGTAATACCTGAGACTGGGTAATTATAAAGAAAAGAGGTTTAACTGGCTCGTGATTCTGCAGGCTGCTCCGGAAGCATGATGCTGGTATCTTCTTGGCTTCTGGGGAGGCTCCAGGAAACTTACATTCATGGCAGAAGGTAGAGCGGGAGCAGCAGAGAGGAAGTGAGGAAGTGCCACACACTTCTAAACAACCAGATTTCGTGAGAACCCACTCACTGTCAGAACAACAGCACTAGGAGGATGGTACTGAACCATTCATGAGAAATCCACCCTCGTGAGCCAATCACTTTCCACTAGCACCACCTTCAACACTGGGGCTGAAACTTTAATATGCGATTTGGGCAGGGATTTTCAAAAATAAGCATAATTGGAATAAGACCATAGTATTGACAGAGAGAGGTCGTTGTTAAGAGCACAAGCTCTGGAATCAGATGGCCTGGGTTAAAAGTCTAGGTCTGCTATTGACAGTTTTAAATGATTGAATTTTTCTGTGCCTCAGTGTCCTCATCTGCAAGCTGGGGATAATAACGGTGCTCAGGTCCTAGGATTGTTGTGAGATTAAATGAGGTGATACACGTCTGGTGCTGGGAACAGTGCCTGGCTGGCATATGGTAAGCACTCACTAGATAATAGTGATTATTATTTCCCGTTAGCCTAAAGTTTCAAAGGATTGTACTCATTGGAATGTATCAATTATATTGTGCACATATAGGAGGTTATAGAACACTAGGCAGATTTAACCTAAAGAAGACTCCTTCAAGGTATTTAATAATCAAACTTCCAAAGGTCAAGGATAAAGAAAGGATCTCAAAAGCAGTAAGAGAAAAGAAACAAATAGCATGCAATGTGGCTCAATAAATCTGGCAGCAGACTTTTCAGGTCTTATAGGCCAGGAGAGAGTGGCATGACATATTGGAAGTGCTGAAGGAAAAAAAACAAGAAAAAAACTTTACCTCAGAATAGTATATCTATGTAAACATGAAGGAGAAATAAAGAATTTCCCAGACCAACCAAAGCTAAGGGATTTCATCAACACCAGACCTGTCCTACAAAAAATCCTAAAGGGAGTTCTTCAATCAGAAATGAAGGGGCATTAATGAGCAATAACAAATCATCTGAAGGTACAGAATTCGCTGGTAATAGTAAATACAACAAAAAACAAGGAATCTTATAAACTGTAATTGTGGCATAGAAACTGTCTTACCCTAAGTAGAAAGACTAAAAGCTCAATCAAGAAAAATAATAATGGTGGACTGGGCAACTAGTAGAATAGGGCCACACCCCTGCTAGGGCATGTTCAAGGCCTTTATTTCCTGTGTAAAATAAGTGTTTTATTTATCTGTGCCTCCAACATTTTGGTATATCTCCAGAGTATCTTTTTGAATTGTGAAAATTAAATCTTTCAGTTCAATTGTGAATAGGCTCAGTATATTTTGTGAAAGGCAGAAGCTATAGTTTGTCTGGGTTGAGTTTTATGCTGTGACATTGGAAGACCTAGAATTTTCCCCTTGGCATCGTAAAGCCACAGGAAATCTCTCAGCCTGACAGTCACTTAGTGGAAGTGCTGTTTTTTTTTTTTTTTTTGGAAGAATATCTGTGGAATGAAACTGGGGAAAGGGAAGGAGAGATGTTAGTGTTCATCGTTTTACCTGTCCCTCAAGCAGATATTCCAGTACTTACTTCCCAGGAGCAGATGACTTAGTTCTTTACCACTAGAAGAATTCAATTTAATTTAGACACCCCCCCACCCCCCCACCCCCACCATGGTATTAGTCAAGTGTAGAAGAGTAAAGGGTTAGAAAACCCTGTGATGCTTGTAATGAGTCTCCATCAGGTGCATAGCAAGTCCCCAGTATAATGTACAAAGTCAGGGTAGAGCAGAGACCTGCCAGCACAGAGCTGCAGAACTCAAGGGAAAGGCCATTGGGGCTGGGGTGGATGCTCTGCCTTTCTGTATAATAAATGTGCTGTATTTATGCACTATGCACTACCTGAGAATTATACAAACAGACATATTTTCCTTAACTCAGACATTATGATGGTATATGCATAGAAGTGAGTCTGGTTGATGGATAAAATGGTTACAAGAAATCAGAAGAGAGGAAGAGAAAATAAAGCAATGTGATTTGGGTAAACAGAGAACACAGAGAGTGGAGAAGTCAGGATTCAAACGATGGGAAGTATGAAAGCCATGTTACCATAATAGGGGCAAAAAATTTCAAGAAATGTTTTCATTATTTTGCAGGGTTACATTAATTTGTCTTATTCTTGTGAATGAGTTACTCCAAGTGACCTTACCAGCTATATATCCCTTTACATCAATTTATTTACTATTATTTTGCTATTAGTACTTTCTTAATTTTTGTATTTAATTTTAATTATTAATTTTTTGATCTTGGCATTTCAGACTGTTCATAACAACCCTAGATGCAGTAACACAATGCTAATCAAAGAAAACCTTCCTTTGAAGTGCCAGAAATTGTTTTCTCTAAAATAGTAGAATTTAGTTAGAAGGCCAGTATTTTGAAATTCAAGCATCTCTTTGGAGAAGGATTTTAAAAAATACATTTGAAAACAAGATGATAAACTGTTAAACTGTGATAATTTTGTGGCCTAAAATGAAATGTCAAAATAAAGATTTTAAAATGTTAACTTTATGTAACTTGGATATACATTGATAGTACTCAACCATTTTAAAACCCTCATTTTCACAGTAAGGTATACTTTCAGGATCGTCACATTTTGCAGTTAAATTTTGAAGATTTTACATATATTGGCCAATTTCATTTTAGTACTCTAGGGTCCCAGGAAGACCACATCTATTCCTCAATAAAGCATTTGCCTCTTAGTGTGTTCGGCTCTTCCTCACCTTAATTCTTCTGAGTTCATTTGTAATTTTCATAACAAAAAATACTTTATTCATAAATTTAGTACATAATGCCCAGAACTCCAGCAGTGAGAGAAGTAGTGAGATGCCAGTATACATGTGTGCATCTGTGAACAGTGGGCATCTGTGCTGTGTGGCTGTCCCTTCCCCAGGAGCCAAGAGGACATGGTGCGAACTCTAGACCTGAACTACCTAGGCTTAATCCTGGATATATACCTTCCTGTTTGACTTTGGGCAAGCTACTTAATTTTTCTGGGCCTCAGTTTCCTTATTTGAAATTGAGGTGAGGGACAGTAATGATCATTTTACAACATAGGGGTGTTTTGAGGATGGAGAAGATAGTTGGATGAATGGATGGATGGAAGAATGGATGGTGATAGGTTGATCAATTGCTTGATAAATAGTATTATCTGTAGTATAGCAGGGATTTAATAAATATGACTTATTGTCAGGCTGAAAGCAACAGCCTCATTCTTTAGGAAAATATTTCTTCCCTGCCTTTACTCCAAGCACATGATTTTTTTTTTTTTTTTGAGACGGTTTGCGCTTCTTGCCCAGGCTGAAGTGCAATGGTGTGATCTTGGCTCACCACAACCTCTGCCTCTGGGTTCAAGTGGTTCTCCTGCCTCAGGCCTCCCAAGTAGCTGGGATTACAGCCATGTGCCACTACACCTGGCTAATTTTGTGTTTTTAGTAGTGATGGGGTTTCTCCAGGTTTGTCAGGCTGGTTTTGAACTCCCGACCTCAGGTGATCCATCCGCCTTGGCCTCTCATAGTGCTGAGATTACAGGCATGAGCCACCGTGCCAGGCACTGAGCATGTTATTTAAATGGCTTACACATTGGCAATACTCAAAGAAGTATCAAGGCCAAAAGTCCCATTGCTTTAGAGATCCTGCCTCCCTGGCCTTACATAGTGGAACAGCTCTAGCATTCATGTCCCTTTAGCCCAAAATGTTAAAAGTAGAAGTGTTTTCTTGATTCCAATGTAACCATTCAGAATTCTTTCTTGAGAATGTGTTAAGCTGAAGCTCAGTTAAAAGTTGAAGGTGGGAGGCAAAAGGCCCAGCAGTGTTTTGTGGCCATGGTTGTAGCCAGGGAGGAAGTCAGTCTGACAGCATGAAGTCAATACTTAGAGAGAGTAAGAGATGGAAGTGTCCAGCTCGAGATTCCACGTTCTCAAGTCCCAGCTGCAGCTTTGCTCTTCCTGCACTTACAGGAACCTATCATTAAAATCCTCTATTTGTGTAACCTTGCTGGGTTTCTTTCACTTGTCTCTTAGTTTGGGTTGCCCTAAAGGCAGACCCTGAGACAAGAATTGAAGGGCAAGTGTTTTATTCGAGAGGTGATCCTAGGAAACATGAAGAAAATAGGGGAAGTGAGACAGGGTAGGGAAATAAGCAGATAAAGGATTTCTTCAGCAAGTTCCCATTGTGGACAACTAGAGCTCAGATCTGTTGAGGAACTTGGGAGCCATTTATTTGAATACCCAAAAGGAGAGAGAGGGATGTTTGTACACCTGCTCCTGCCAGTCACTGAGTATGGTCTATTTCTGGGGTACAGTAATTTATTAGCACTTCAGGCGGATCATGTTGCAGGCAGAGAAAGTCAAGGGATTAAAGGAAATCCTTAGACAAACCTGCAAATGGTTGGAATTCAGTCCAGTGTGCTCGTGAGAAGTAAGGGTCAGGGGATGTTTATAGGACACCTACAACATCTGCTTTGAGTTAACAATGAAAACAACTTTTGTCACAGTAGAGATATGGTTGTAGGGTGGCCTCAAAGTCTGTACATGCCAGGTCATCTGAAAAAATCTAATTTTCCCCCTATGCTCTCTGAACATATTCTTCTATGTTGACTAGTTGGAAGTCATTAAAGAAGTCCCTGAATTCTGTTTTTAGATTTTCCTCACGGTTAGGTTGAGTTGAGAATTTTTTCACCCAGTCACACCCACAAAGACTTTCTGCCTCCCTGTAGTTCTGGGCTGCTACTCCCTGCACCAACTTTGCAAACAAAATAGCAATGCCAGACCGATGAGATAATGATCATTTAAAAATAGATGTGATAGGCTGGTCGCGGTGGCTCATTTCTGTAATCCCAGCACTTTAGGAGGTTGAGGAAGGCAGATCACCTAGGTCAGGAGTTCGAGAGCAGCTGGCCAAAATGGTGAAACCCCATCTCTACTAAAAAAATACAAAAATTAGCCAGGCATAGTGGCACACGCCTGTAATGTCAGCTACTTGGGAGGCTGAGGCAGGAGAATTGCTTGAGCCTGGGAGATGGAAGTTACAATGAGCTGAGATCCTGCCACTGCACTCCAGCCTGGCTGACAGAGCGAGACTCTCTCAAAAAAAAAAAAAGAAAGGAAAAGAAAAGATGTGGTAGTAACAAATGTAAATCAGAATAAGAATATTTTCCTGTGAGGGTCTCTAATGTTTACATAGAAGTTACTCAACTGTCTATTTTTTAAAAAATATATCAGTCTGCTGTTAAGGAGCAAGAATACACATTTTTATGTGACTTCATATTTAGAGAAAGGCATTTATATAATTATGCATTGTAACTGAGAGATTGTATTATCTTTTTTGTGAAATCACCATAATTACTTTATTTAGTTATGTACTTGAATTTTAAAGCTAGTGATATTTGGCTTGAATACAAATACAAAATATGTGATATCAATCTATAATGCCAGCTGTTTTTTTTTCTACCAAAAATCATTACAGACAAGCAAATGGCAGTTGATGTATAATGAGAAATTTCAAGGCTGTTGGATCTGAATTTAATTTATATTTGTGACTCAGAGTAGGCAATGCTGGATAATCATTTGATGGCTGGAATGTAATCACTGGGTGAACTTAATCTATTTGTTTAGTTGCCCAGACTCCTCACTGTATTTACAGTTAATTGGTTACCATTAAGGTCCTCTTAATAGAGACCATAAAGCAGCAGGATTAGAGACACCTGAAAAGGAACATTTAGTTTGAGTCCTTTCTTAAAGCCAAGTTTTGACATGTGCTCATCTATTTCATTTTTTACCATCTTCGTGACAGACTCAGGGAGAAAAAGACTCTCAGCAAGGTGCTTTATGAATTATTTTTACTGCTTTGGCCTATGAACATTTCTATGGCCAGAAAATAAAAAAAAAATCTAATGTTCTTACATATAATTGAAGTTTTCCTCTTATGACTTGAAATTCTTTTTGAATTTTAGTGGCCAGGCAAAGCAACTGGTTACTACTTAACATTTAATGATTCTTCATATACTGAAAGCTTATTTTAAGCTTTTTTCCCCTAAATTTCATGGTTCATTCATAGTTCTTCTAACTGTTTGATTGAACCTTCTAGATATTACATATGAAAATCTCATAGAAAACTTTTCAATATCTTAGGAAAGTCATGTGAACCTATCTGATGAGGAAGGATACAAGTCTCTTATAAAATGTGATTTTATATTATTTTATTATTTTTCTTTTTTGATGTAGTTTTGCTCTTGTTGCCCAGACTGGAGTGCGATGGCACGATCTTGACTCACCAGACTCACCACAACCTCCACCTCCTGGGTTCAGGTGATTCTCCTGCCTCAGCCTCCTGAGTGGCTGGGATTACAGGCATGCACCACCACACCCGACTAATTTTTATATGTTTTTTAGTAGAGATGGGGTTTCTCCAGGTTGATCAGGCTTGTCTCAAACTCCCGTCCTCAGGTGATCTGCCTGCCTCACCCTCCCACAGTGCTGGGATTATAGGCATGAGCCACCGTGCCCAGCCACAAAATGTGATTTTAGGGCTGCATTTTTAACTTACAGATTTTCTTTCTTCTCCAAATAAGGGTTTATTTACTTCAGGACTGATGAAGCAAATTAAAATTATAAATTGTCCTCTTTCCACAGAGATTTTCTAGTCTACCTTCTTCTCCCTTTCTCCTATCCACAATTACCATCACCACAATGCTGGAGCTTCCCTTCATCCACTGGGCTCCAGCCAATTTGGAAAAATTTTGAAAGTAAATTAGTTACGGTGACAATAGAATCAAAATAACAAAATTACTACAATTGAATATTTCTCATCACCAATTTTTAAAATCTATTGATAATATTCAGGAACTTTTACATTATTTCTGGGCACTTAACACTTTTAGTTATTTTAGATTTTTTTCTGTGAACTTGACATTTTGTTTCTTAATTCATCTTTAGCCAATTATGAGTATTATGCATTAAAATGGGAGGTTGGCCCCTTTCCACTGACAGATGAAAAATGGAAAGTACCTCTGATTGGTCCCCTCCACAACCAATCACTGATCACAGGTCTTCATGTGTAAGTCTTCATGTGTAACTTTGTTAACTTCACTTCAGCCTCTGATTGGTTGACTCTTGCAACCAATCAGACTAGTGGTGGGCCAGGTCTTCATTTACAGAGGGTATAACCAAGTAGCCAATGGGAAATCTCTAGAGGGTACTTAAACCTTAGAAAATTTTGTAACCAGTGCTCTTGAGCTGCTTGCTTGAGCCCACTCATGCTCTGTGGAGTGTACTTTCTTTTCAATAAATCTGTGCTTTCATTGCTTCACATACACACACACACACACACACAACACACACACACACACACACACACACACACACACGAAAGCAGAGGTGGGTTAGATAAATAACACTAAGCTGGTGATACAGTAATGGATTTGTTGACCTAAAAGCATATTTGCAATATTAACTAAAAAGATAGGTTAACAATAGCATATATTTTATGATCTTATCACAAATAGAAATATCTGAAAATGTTGCTAAGTCAAGCAGGCATTGCAGATAAAAGTGAATTAGAAATTAAGGGAATATGAATATATATAACAAAATACCAACAACAAACCTTCAAATCTGAAAACAGTTCATAATTTGTTGGTTAAGTTTTCTTATACTGTTTTCTTATTAGAAAAGCAATATATTCTCAGTGCAGAAAATGAAGAAAAAAAATCCCATTAAGAACATTCATAATCCTACTAACCCAGACATGGAAAAAACTCACAGAAAATAGCCTATTGTCCAGATTCCAGATTTATTTCTATCTGCACACACAAACACAAATACTGATATCGATGAGTGCTTTTCTGTAGCTTCAGTTTTAAAATCTGCATCGTATCCCATTACTTGGTTGAAATCATGATTCATTTAGCCAATCCCCTTTTTTTAGATATGCGAACTGTTTCCAGCTTTTCCCTAATTTATATTGCACGGGGCCTGTATACTTGGCTAAAAATAAATTAGAAATAAGAAAACAAAAGTTCTTTGTAGCAAAGTTAGCCTCTAGCACACCATCTCCTTCTTAACCCCCAAATAAAACACCCTGACTAGACTTGCCTGTGAAGATTTTGTTGCTGACTATAGTATTGAAAACCTTTTTGCTGTATGCAGCTCACTGATCTTCTCTACTCTTGAGTGTGGGGAAAGCATGGTGTATTATTAGTGACAAAGGCCTTTTTATACAATTTTACATATCAGAGCTGGGTATGAAAGGATGACTTGATGATTTGATGCCCACCACTGTCTTTACTTTTAAAAAATTTTAATAGTTTTTGGGGTACAGGTAGTTTTGGGATACATGGATAGGTTCTTAAGTGGTGATTTCTGAGACCTTAGTATATCCATCACCTAAGCAGTGTACACTATACCCAATATGTAGCCGTTTATTCCTCACCCCACTCCCACCCTTTATACCCGGAGTTCCCCAAATCCACTGTGTCATTCTTATGCCTTTGCATCCTCATAGCTTAGCTCCCACTTACAAGTTAGAACATATGATATTTGGTTTTCCATTCCTGATTTACTTCAGTTAGAATAATGGCCTCCAGCTCCATCCAAGTTGCTGCAAAAAAACATTATTTTGTTCCTTTTTATGGCTGAGTAGTATTCCATTGTGTATATATACATTTTATTCTTAAAAACATTTCATGTATTTATTTACTTATTTTTTAACTTTTAAGTTCAGGGTTAGCTGTACAGATTATTTCATCACCCAGGTATCAAGCCTAGCATTCATCAGTTATTTTTTCCGATCCTCTCTCTCCTCCCACCCCTCACCCTCCAATAGACCCCAGTGTGCCTTGTTTTTCCTCTATGAGTCCATGTGTTCTCATAATTTAGCTCCCACTTATAAGAATGTACAGTATTTGTTTTCCTGTTTCTGCATTAGTTTGCTAATGATAATGGCCTCCAGCTCCATCCATGTTCCTGCAAAGGACATGATCTTGTTCTTTATAGTTCCATGGTATTCCTTGGTGTTTATATATCACCTTTTCTTTATCCAGTCTATCATTTTCGGTCATTTAGGTTGATTCCTTTGGTATTGTGAATAGAGCTGCAATGAACATATATGCATGCATGTTTCCTTTTAATAGAACGATTTGTATTCCTTTGGATATATACCCAGTAATGGGATTGCTGGGTAAAGTAGTATTTCTATCTTTAGGTCTTTGAGGAATTGCCACACTGTCTTCCACAATGGTTGAACTAATTTACATTCCCACCAACAATGTAAAAGCATTCCTTTTTCTCCACAACCTCTTTAGCATCTGTTATTTTTTGACTTTTTAATAATGGCTATTGTGATGGGTGTGAGATAATAGCTCACTGTTTTTTTGTTTGTTTGTTTTAAATTTTACTTTAGGTTCTGGGGTACATGTGCAGATCATGCAGGGTTGTTGCATAGGTGCATACATAACCAGGTGGCTTGCTGCCTCTATTCCCCCTTCATTTATATCTGGCATTTCTTCCCATGTTATTCCTCCCCACCTTCCCCTGTCCCTCCCCTAGCTTCCCCCCAACAACTGCCCCCAGTATGTGGATATCTCACTGGGGTTTTGATTTATATTTCTTTAATCATCAGTAATGTTGAGCTTTTCTTAATATGCTTGTTGGCTGCATGCATGTCGTCTTTTGAAAAGTGTTTGTTCATGTCCTTTGCCCACTTTTTAATGGTGTTGTTTGTTTGTTTCTATAAATTTGTTTAAGCTCCTTATAGTTGCTGGATATTAGACCTTCGTAAGATGCATAGTTTGCAAAAATTACCTCCCATTCTGTAGGTTGTCTTTTTGTTCTGTTGATAGTTTCTTTTGCTGTACAGAAGCTCTTTAGTTTGATTAGATTTGATTTGTCAATTTTTGCTTCCGTTGCAATTGCTTTTGGCGTCTTCATCACAAAATCTTTGCCAGTGCCTATGTCCTAAATGGTATTGCCTATGTTTTCTTCTAGGGTTTTTGTAGTTTTGGGTTTTAGATTTAGTCTTTAATACATGTTGAGTTGATTTTTGTATATGGTGTAAGAAAGGGGTTTGGTTTCAATTTTCTGCGCGTGGCTAGCCAGTAATCCCAGCACCATTTATTAAATAGGGAATCCTTTCCCCATTGCTTGTTTTTGTCAGGTTTGTTGAAGATCAGATGGTTTTAGGTGTACAGTCTTATTTCTGGGTTATCTATTGTGTTCCATTGGTCTCTGTGTCTGTTCTTGTACCAATGCAATGCTGTTTTGGTTACTGTAGTGCTGTAGTGTAGTTTGAAGTTGGGTAGTGTGATGCCTCCAGCTTTGTTTTTTTTTTGCTTAGGATTTCCTTGGCTAGTTGGGCACTTTTTTGGTTCCATATGAATTTTAAAATGGTGTTTCTATTTCTACAAAGAATGTTAAATGGTAGTTTCATAAGAATAGCATTGAATCTATAAATTGCTTTGGGCAGTATGACCATTTTCACAGTATTGATTCTTCCTCTCCATGAGCATGGAATGTTTTTTCATTTGTTTGTGTCCTCTCTGACTTCTTTGAACAGTGGTTTTTAGTTTTCCTTATAGAGATCCTTCACTTCTCTTGTTAGCTGTATTCCTAGGTATTTTATTCTTTTTGTGGCAATTGTGAATGTGAGTTCATTTGTAATTTGGCTTTTGGCTTGATTGTTATTGGTGTATAGGAATGCTAGTGAATTTTGCACATTGATTTTGTATCCTGAGACTTTGCTGAAGTTGATTACCAGCTTAAGAAGCTTTTAAGATGAGACAATGGGGTTTTCTAGATATAGGAACATGTCATCTGCAAACAGGGATAGTTTGATTTTCTTTCTTCCTATTTCTTTCTCTTTCTTGATTTCTCTGGCCAGAATTTCCAATACTATGTTGAATAGGAGTGGTAAGAGAGCAGTCTTGTCTTGTGCTGGTTTTCAAGGAAAATGCTTCTGGCTTTTGCCCATTCAGTAA